GATCGGCCACTTCGACTACGCGACCCTCCCTTGTTAGACTACGATTGGATTCCACAAATTCACAAGAGCTTTCGGAGCTCTTTGCGCAACTACGTACCGGTCAAATCCAAGGTACACATACAAGCAAAAAGGTAAGGCAGGCAGGTACAAGCAAAAAAACCAGAGATATGACGCTTCTCGTAAGAAAACAAAACTACTTACCTCAAACAACTGTAAAGACTCTTCGATAGGTCTATCTCGCCACGGTGATAACTGAACATCAAACCCTCGGATATCCTCCACTTTTTGGTGGTCTACGTAAGCGTGCCCTTTCTTGATTAGTTCTACGGCCCACTGAATTGAAGCTTTTGAAACAATTTCGCAACAAAACACACCAAACTTACTTCATACAGTTGCTGGAAGTTATCAGAAGAGTGCGTAATCCTAGCAGGAGTGTAGCCTCAAATACACTTATATCGAGAACGGCAACTAACAAGAACAGATAGCACCACTTCTATCAACGAAAAACAACACATTCAGTCAATAATCAAAAGGAAAAATAGATCTTCTGCAACAATATCAAGCAAAGGTAGATGAAGAAGAAACAAGAAAACTGTATCCGAAGCAGAGATGAAAGAAAGAAAAGTTAAATAATATCCAACACAACCTGCTAACAAAGATAGAATGAACCCAGTGCTCACTCACCTAACCAGTGGACCATATCCTCAATCGCAGTAAAGAATTTCTCTTCTTCCTTCTCAGGATTCGTATCATCGAATCGTAGGTTACACAAACCATTATGAGCCTGCAACAAGCACCCGTTAAGATAGAGCACCAACTACATCCCAATAAAACTGACCTTGGCATACCCGAAATTGATGTTGATTGCCTTTGCGTGTCCAATATGAAGCACACCATTCGGCTCTGGTGGAAACCTGGTAATCACCTAAAAAGTAATTCTTGCTGAGAACATACATAAAAGCAGTAGCTGACAAAAAGTCACCTTTCCGCCAGTAGCTTCCACATGTTTTTTCAACAATTCTTTGGTCTTCGGTGTGGTGACATAGCCGTCTGTCATATAATTCTCGCCAACCTGTTGAAATTTCAATCAAGAACGTAGCAACGATAGGATCAAAAGCTAACATACCTTATGGAAGTGTGCGCGGGTCCGCATCAACTCCTCGATGGTTGCTGCTCCATCGCTCTCTAACAAGCGTAATTATTTAACAGAAATTCGTTAAAATCGTAACTTCTCACCATCAGGGAATCCATTTTCTTGAATGACAGCGGTGCCATTTTGCTTAGGTTCTGGAGTTTTCTTTTTGGAGACAGGCTTCTTCTCCTGTGGCTTCTCTTCCCTCTTAGCCTGCAAAAAACAATCTACACTGCGACAGTCAAACCCCTAAGCACAGTTCATGAACAGAATTTCGAAATAATTGCGAAAGCGTAAGAGAAACTAGTTTCACCTTCTTCTTCGGCACAAGATCGTCAACAGTTCTTGGACCGAGGAGCTCAAGAATGCGGAGGTCGACTTCTTTCTTCACATAAGATCCGTCAGCCCAAGGTAATTGTGAGCGCACCTCACCTTGAAAAGATGTTTATTAATTCAACATACACTGCAGGAACCACAGATGTTTTGCAGTATTATTGTAAGAGGTAAATCACCATTCAAGTGAATATACGTTGTCTACAGATTATATGGAACATGTACAATAATTTCGAGACACTACAGTTAGAAAAGACTTCGAATGACCGATACTGCCTTCACTGCCTAATGGAGCAAAAGAGAACCAAAGAAAAATCACTTGCTGAGTAAAAACGCCTTGGGAAAGATTTCAGAAGTCATATAATTTAGTGTCTAGACTACTTAAACTATGTTACAAGTGGCAGATTGTTTAGGTTCCCATAATCGGTCGTAAGTTTTTAATCTGCAAAAACGCATATCAATTTCGCAAAGGGGTAAAGATTTTTGAAGACGTTCCCTTTACAAATTTCAGAGCGCAAAACTTCAACCCGATAGTAAGGCCCTACAGGCCATACCTTGGACTACTTTTTGAAAGACTAACAGTTCACACCATAGGACTT